AACAGTGCAGCCACCAGAAATAGCCTGCGAGTCCTCTCCTGCTTCAGTGTCATTGCAGCATCCTCTGCGTCGCTTCACACCCTGCTCACTGTAAGGAAGAAATGCTTAAAGTAATTATGCAGAGCAGGTATTAAAATTTGGAGCCCAGAGGAGATGAACTGATGACTGAGATGGCGTGGTTGAAGAATGGGGCGTCGTAGGCAATCCAGTATTCTGTTAGCGGACCTCAGGACTTGTGTCCCACATTAAATTGCTCAAAGTTACAGAGCTTTTAAGTGAAATTGTCTAGACTTTATATCAAAATAAGCCCAATTGTATTAAAAAGTTAATTTTAAGAAAAAACATACAAACCATAAAAAAGAGTAGACATCATATATGTAGTGGAATCGTGCATTCTAGGCTTTCAACGAATTGAATGAATCTCAGTGGAAAATGTTTGCAAGTCTCTAGAATAAATATTACCATAACTCAAATAAAAAGGCAGGCAGACTGGGGGGAATACTTTCATCGAATATACTAGGGAAAAATCTCTATCCGTATTGCACAGAAGCTCATTAAAACTGAAGGGAAAACCATCAACTTTCATGTAAATGGGCAAAGGACATGAATAGATGATGAACAAAGAGGAAACACAAGTAATAAACAGACATAAGAAAATGTCTGACTGATATGCAAATTAAAACTGTAATGGGTAGAGTTTATGCATGAAATTTTCAAAATAAAATAAAAAGCTGGTGAAAAAGATGGTGGAACTGACAAATTGATGACAATAGAAATTGCTAAAACTTCTCTTGAATTCAGATGTCATATTCCTGAAATAATCCTACTTCTGGGAATATAACCCAAGGAAATAGTTACAGAAAATAGAAAAAGGTTCTATGCATGTGTTTAGGGCAGTCATTTAAAGGATTGAAAAGTGGGAGGTCATTTAAATGTACATTAAACGGTCAGCAATAGTGTAAATCATTCTATTAATTATATAATCCATTTGCCTATGATCATGGCCAGTAAATAAATGACCTGTCTGTGACCAAAAATTATTAGAAACTAATGAAGCAAGATAGGCTACTTCTCAAGATATAACAATTAAAAGCAGAATAAAAAACTGTATTTATGTGTGAAAGAGAATAATATGGGCATGTAAAGAAAAATAAAAAAGGAACGTAAAATGTAGAATTGGTTTATTAAATTGATTTTAAAGTTTATTATTAATACAATATTGCTTATGCAATACTTTTTAAAATGTGGCATTTAAAATGGAAATAAGCCAGGTATGTTGACAAGAGCCGCGCTGAGTAAGGCTCACCTCTTTTCTACATGGTACATGTCTATTAAGTCAGCATTTTTTCTCATTAGCTTTTCGCTTGTTGTTGTGGAGACACATCCCCCTGAAGCTTCCACCCTATTGAATGAGGCCTGCTCAGCCCGCTCTCCTCTCCCTGTGCCTGGGCAGCTGAATTAAAGGACCCTAGTGTAGCATTTTACATTTGTTCTGTTACATTTTTCTTGGTCTATACTTCATCCCACCATGAAAGGCTCTCTTGATTTTTTGGCTCCTAACCTACACCCTTTTTTGCCATGTTTCCCAAGTGGATGCTAGTTGGCCATCCTATACACAGTGAAATATATAGAAGAGTCCACCCTTACCCAAGGCCCTGATGGAAATGTTGGCCGAGCCGTACTGAGCCCGGGGACACGTCACGTCTATCCAGGAGCCCCTTTGATGACATCATGCTACAATCCACTAAAATAGTCCAGCGAGCAGCACACACGGGCTGGCTTTGACGATGAGCACAAGTTCTTTTGTAGGTGAAACGAGCTTTAGGCTCAGAGAGGAGCTCAGGTGACCTTCCTGGACCAGGCTCTGGCTCGGGTCCATTGTGACAGGGAGCGCGTCTGCCCTCAGT